GTGATTCAAGATCTCTTCAGAGCTGGAATGTTCTTCACGCATTTGGATGAAAATCCTTTCTTCGGCAAAAATCCAATAAACAGGTCTCGTCTTAATGAGGTGTACAAGGGACTGCTCCACAGAGATGATGACGATGTGTATAAGATGCTTAGTGACCTGAGAAATACCACCTCAAGAGGCGACATCTTCGATATCACAGAAATAAGCTACTACGGGAATACAGGTTTATGTGTCCATAACATCTTCAAATCTCAGGATCACAGGATCTACAAAGACTTCTACTGTACAAGCCTCTTCGTCCTACTTGGTATTGTAAGCACCACATACATCCTAATTATTCGGAAACAAAAAAGGTGTAACAAGGCGATAAATCCTGCTGGCCCAAAGGAACAGGAAAACACCGAGGCGAGGTTGACCGTAAAAGTGGCTCTGATGATTGGATCGCAACTCATATGTTGGATCCCATTTATTCTAACCGTCCTTCATTTCCAATACATGACCAAGAATCCAGCTTCTCCTATGGTGTTTGAGGTGTTCGCTCTGGTTATGATACCAATAAACAGCTTCTTGAATCCTGTTTTTTACAGTGGGCTTTACAAGAAGGTGGTGCAGATGATTTGGATAAAGTGGAGACTCGTTGCGAGCTTCTGTGCACCCAATGACATACCATTATCCAATAACATAACAATGATGGATCAATTTGAACTACACACAATCACCCGAAGTACTGAGAATGAAGACACAATGATAGATCAACTACCCACCCGGAGTACTGAGAATGAAGACACAATGATGGACCAAATGTCCACCCGGAGTACTGAGAATGAAGACACAATGATAGATCAACTACCCACCCGGAGTACTGAGAATGAAGACACAATGATGGACCAAATGTCCACCCGGAGTACTGAGAATGAAGACACAATGATAGATCAACTACCCACCCGAAGTACTGAGAATGAAGACACAATGATGGATCAACTACCCACCCGGAGTACTGAGAATGAAGACACAATGATGGATCAACTACCCACCCGGAGTACTGAGAATGAAGACACAATGATGGATCAACTATCCACCCGAAGTACTGAGAATGAAGACACAATGATGGATCAACTATCCACCCGAAGTACTGAGAATGAAGACACAATGATAGATCAACTACCCACCCGGAGTACTGAGAATGAAGACACAATGATGGATCAACTACCCACCCGGAGTACTGAGAATGAAGACACAATGATGGATCAACTACCCACCCGGAGTACTGAGAATGAAGAAACAATGATGGATCAACTATCCACCCGAAGTACTGAGAATGAAGACACAATGATAGATCAACTACCCACCCGAAGTACTGAGAATGAAGACAAAATGATAGATCAACTACCCACCCGAAGTACTGAGAATGAAGACACAATGATGGATCAACTACCCACCCGAAGTACTGAGAATGAAGACACAATGATGGATCAACAATCCACCCGAAGTACTGAGAATGAAGACACAATGATGGATCAACTACCCACCCGGAGTACTGAGAATGAAGACACAATGATGGATCAACTACCCACCTGGAGTACTGAGAATGAAGACACAATGATTGATTAACTACCCACCTGGAGTACTGAGAATGAAGACACAATGATTGATCAACTACCCACCCGGAACGGTGCCCCAATGTGAGTGTGACTGAGCGATCGGTCACATAATACTTTAGCCAAAATTACTTTAATATTATTTTAGACCTGATCCCCGCTGTTCACATTACTAGCTGAAGCCTTTCAGAGCACAATCAGTCACCACTAGCTTACGTAGTATGTGAACGATCCCTTCTGTCAAGAACAATAAAAGTTGCATAATTGTCGAATAACTCACAAATTTTTTACGGCGGCAATTTATTGCATATAAATTATGTTTGACAAATTTAGTTATCAGTTATTTAGAATATATATTCGCATTTATCCACACTATATTTACATTACACGTACAACGTGATATCGTTATCAGTGCAGTGTGTACAACACCAACTACACCGATCAATTGCCAATCTGCGAAACATTTAATTATTATTATCACTTCGAGATGGCCAGGCCTACTCTCATGCTGTCTATATGTGATGATTAACTCTGAAAAACTAGGGACAACTGGGGAATGATCCCAGAACCTCGAGATTTCGCGTCTCTTGCTCTACCAATTGAGCTACTGACCCTGATTCTCAGAGCGAAATCACCACTCATATACAGCACAATTTCAATATGATATTCCACACAAAGCATGAAATTGTGCTGTATATGAGTGGTGATTTCGCTCTGAGAATCAGGGTCAGTAGCTCAATTGGTAGAGCAAGAGACGCGAAATCTCGAGGTTCTGGGATCATTCCCCAGTTGTCCCTAGTTTTTCAGAGTTAATCATCACATATAGACAGCATGAGAGTAGGCCTGGCCATCTCGAAGTGATAATAAATTTAGTTATGTTTGACAAATTTAGTTATGGGGTAGTTGAAAACAATGACAAACATTAAAGACTTAAAATTGCATGTGTATAATCTTAACGCTTGTTTGTCTGAAGAGCTTGTTTTACCACCATTCAAATATTTTTGTTCGCGGTAGTTTGTTCGCTTTTACTAATTAATAAATGTCAATAAATGTTTGTAATATTTTTATTGAGGCACATGCCACCCCATCGCAGGTTTACTTCTATTACGAAAGACTGCATTTTATTTGTAATTAATTAAGACAAAGCTAAAAAACTAGGTATCTTAGGGTTATTAAATGATAGTCCCCCAGCATAGAAATCATGTGTTCCTATAGAAATCCTACAGACTAGAGCTTTTTCAAGGCGGCTCTAACAGACAAGGTCTCCATGCTTGGGTCTTTTCCAAACTTCGTCAGGGCTTCGCTTGCAGCTCTGACCAAGGATCGATCGGGACCGGGACTGGAAAGAAATGCCAAGACCGGGAATAAGACCGAGACCGGGAATACGACCGGGACCGGGATTAAGCCAGGATTGGGACCAGGATCATAGCTAAGAAAAGTTGTACTTTAAATATTCTTTGATCTTTTAATGTATTATGGCGTTAGGTGCAGTTTTTTAAAACTTAGAAAAGCATCCCGGTTCGGTCCCGGTCAAAATTCGGCATTTTAGCCGGGACCGGAATTCCCGGTCCCGGTCGATTTTTGACCGGGCCTATTATTAACCCGGGATCCCGGTCGAACCTTGTCTCTGACTTATCATAAGCTCCAAAGCTTAATTTTTCTGGGTCTAGCGTTGATGCAGGGCAAGTTGGCATAGTTCCGGAGCTCCACAGTCCACAGGTCCATATATTTGATAATGGTGTCGGAGCTGATGCAGTTGTTCAGGGGGGAGGGGAGGGGGGTCAGGCTGTGATTACGTTATATTCCTGTCAGGAGGGGAGTAAAAGTGCCAACGTAATTAATGTGAACTTCGGTAGTTAACAATAACCGCCGACCCCACTTCTGGCTTAGGATGTCGTAATTCGAGAGAACTGAGGTTGAGATAAACGATATCATCTGGAGTTGTGCCAAGATTCAAGGACTAGGTGTTAAGTATATAACTACTTGGAGCCGCTTTACACCGCAAATAACTGCTTACCATCAATTTGTTCGGCCACTTACCGTCATTTTCGGATAAATCAGTTTGAGGAAGTCCAAGAAGTTCATTAAGATGTCATGCTTGCAGCGGTTTCTGATCTATTTTGATCATCTGTATCATAGAGATTTAACACACGTACAACCTGGTAAAGGACATGCACCTACGAGGATAATGAATGTTATGACGCACGAGGTGGGTGGAATAAAGTGTTAAGTGATAAGCGCTTGTATACAGGAAATAAGTGCATGTTATTGAATTGAGATTACGCAACGATGACATCTTGACCACTCCAAAACACTGACGTCACACATTTTAGGTCAGATCTACATGAAATCATAAAGAACACACGTGTTACAAATGCTTTCACCGCGCCAGGAAACTTTTGCACACACTTTTTTGCTGCGCGCCTTCCGTAAAATGATAATTTGCCACAGTCTGGAGGCATTTGGGAGATAAGCGTCCACAAAATTAGCTCATTGTGATATCATAGGCTACTTGGCAAAGGTTGGTATTAGCTCTTTTCTTGAGCTAATACTACGGGACGTGTGTAATTACCTGATGTGTGCATAGTAGCTAGTGAGGAGCAACTTTGAGCAGTACAATAGAAATTATGTGAAAGTTGACCCTACAAACATGAAAGCCAATGCAACACTGTGTAAATAACTCTCTTCATATGTAAGTGATAGGGAAGGGCAAATGTTTTATGTTAGGTAATAGTGATCTCAACATGACATACATTTGCACAGTGATGATATTCTGTCTTAGTGGCACGAAACCTACAACCAACAGCAAACTGCGACTACTGAATAATGCGCATCCCATACTGTGTTAATCAAAAATCCCGCTAAATCTTTTGAATAAGCCATACTATTTCTAGTTAATTTTATATAACATATTTTAATGTTATAAACATAAAAGTCAATAAGAGTTAATTTTAGACATTTTATGCTATTCCATTACAACACGTATCGTTTAATGCTCAACAAATACCATATAAGTGCAGAATGAATTATGTATAATGGAAAATTCTTCCTCTTATACAGGAATTTTCGGTAGAAACCTCTGATGTGTACGTATCATAGAAGAGTCATATTTCGCACTTTGTAGATTGCAACATGGATTTTGAGTGGGAATAAAAGTTACGGGTTAAAATGCAAGATTTTTAAATTAAATACCCGGAAAAATGATGTCCAGGGCTCGGGGTGAATTCATATCACTTATTTTAAAAGGAGATGACGGAATTTAGTTTGTGCATTAAACAATAAATTTATGCATTATCCGGCTGGATTTCAGCAACTTAATAGTATGTACTAAGTATGACAAAACCAACTGTATTATTCATGTAAACGTTTTTATACAAAACTTGACATAGAAGGAAACGATGATTTTATGGGAAAGTCCATATGAAAATAACTTGAAACTGTATAACAGTCAAATAAGTCGGGTCGAGTAAATATTTCCACTTATAGTTATCCATAACGGGCACATCTTGTTGCATTATTCCCCGTTGCACTAGTTAAACTTAAATACTGCAACAGTGTGATAAAAATCTGGCCGAGCTCCAAGAAAATTTCATGAGCGGCTATCCAGTATCCGTATCGTTTTAAAATATGCGACCGAGCTCTACAAAAATGCTTCATAAATAGTTTTAAAACTAGCTGCGTTTTAGTGCGACAAAGAAAATTGTCACTCATTTTAATACATCAGCTTTCATTTATCTTGGTAAGTGGTCCCACAAAAATTACCACAACTTTTCATTCGATAATAAATTTCTACCAAAATCAAACCTAAAAGAAACATCAAATAAATTATGCTATTGATCATTAGCCATTTGTTGATTCCACATCTCAGAGTACATTGACTCAGGATTGTTGAGAAGTTGTTTGTGAGTGCCGCGCTCCGCAATAGCGCCGTCCTGCAACACCAAAATCTGATCAGCGTCCATTATTGTGCTGAGTCTGTGAGCAATGAAAATACTAGTTTTACCGGCAGATACGGTGTGAAGGGACTCTAAGATATTGTGCTCTGTCAGACTGTCCAAGGAGGAGGTTGCTTCGTCGTACAGCAGTATTGGTGCATTTTTCAGCACAGCGCGCGCAAGTGCAATCCTCTGCTTCTCTCCCCCGGATAACATCTGCCCACGCTCGCCCACCAATGTGTTATACCCCTCTGGGAATGTCCCAATAGCATGGTGAATATCCGCTAGTTTAGCAGCCTTGACAATGTCCTCTTCAGAGGCGCTCGTGTCACCGTACTGGATATTGTATCTGATATTGTCATTAAAGAGAACACAATCCTGGGGGACCACACCCACATTTCTCCGGTAATCTTCAAGCTGCAGAGATTTCAGGGACACTCCCCCGATATTGATATCTCCAGAGTTAGGATCGTAGAAACGATACAGCAGCCTCACAATAGTAGACTTGCCCGAACCAGATCCCCCAACAATGGCAACAGTCTTTCCACTAGGTACAGTAAAGCTCAGATCCTTTAATATCATTTTACCAGGAGTGTAGCCGAACGATATATTATCAAACACGATATCTCCCTTGCAAGGTTCAGCAGCCGCCACAGCATCAGGACTATCCTGCATACCTGGACTATTAGACAGCAGCTCGTTCAACTTTCTCATATCAGTGTGAGACTGCTGGATATCCCTGTAGATGCTGCCCAGGAAGTTTAGAGGTTGAGCCACCTGGATCAGGAGCAGGTTGATCATGACCAGGTCACCTACAGACATGTTACCGGATAATATCTGGTTGACAGCCAGGTACATGCTCGCTGTTATTCCGAGGGTTATGATGATTTGTTGTCCACTGTTCAGCAGGGATAGTGAGCTTTGTGTCTTGAGAGAGCCTTGCTCGAACTTCGCTAGCAGTTTACTGTAGTTATCTCCTTCGTACTTCTCGTTGTTGAAATACTTCACTGTCTCGTAATTTATCAAAGTATCGAATGATTTGAAGCCGATCTCGTTATCAGCTTTGTTCATCATTTTCCTGAATTGTGTTCTCCACACCGTGACACTGTAGGTAAAGGCGATGTAAGAGGCAGTGGTGAGACAGCAGATAGCAGTGTATTCAAACCCCACACTAGCCCACAACACTCCTAGCACCAGACACAGCTCCAGAACCGTAGGTACTACGTTCACTACCAGTGCGCGCAGAATACTGTCAGCGCCCCGCGTGCCACGGTCTATCACACGAGAGAGTTGTCCTGTTTTCCTGTTCTGATGAAATGAGAGGTCCAGATCAAGCAGGTGGTCGTATGTGCGCTGAGATACTGTCCTGATGTTACTCTGTGCTACCACGGAGAATACTGCGTTTTTATACTCGTTCAGACTTGGAGATAAAGCTCGCATGGCTCCGTAGATAAGGACCCACGAGGCTACAGTTGTTCCGGATAATATTACCAGTTGGGGAATATGCTCCACATCTAACGGAACGTTAAAATAGTCTATAATCTCTCTGAAGATCAGCGGTACACTAGTGTTAGCTAACTTTGAAGCAACAATCAGACCCCCAACAGCCACTACTTTTCTCCGGATGTGTGGCCGATCTGCTGGCCAGAAAGATTTCTTGAGTTGCTGATAAGAAGTGAGACTACCACCCTGTTCAGATTGGGAGGGAGTGGTGTGTAGATGTCTGGAAACTGAAAGAGAGGAGAGAGAGCGGCACCGGAGAAGGGACCTGGCAGCCACCAACATCCTCCCTAGATACTGTGGGTATAATTCAGAACATGTGGAATACATATGATAGATACATGATTTGATTTTATTAATTTGAAACTTTCATCAAATAGTACAGAATAACACAGCAATGAACTTGAATAAAAACAATGGCGACAAAGAATGTTTAGGCTGGGGAAATGCTCAGACTGGTTAGGGCCAGGGGCAGGCGCAAGTAAACAGAAATATTGCTATATTTACGTTTTAGTGTGGGTAATTGATTTGCCTGATTCTTTAATTTCTGTAGTTTCTATTTCAGTACCAATAAATTGCTCTTTAATTGATTTATTTGTTTTTTAAACTGAGGTATTTAAATATGGGAATGAAAAAATGAAACAATATTGTAAATAACTGGCAAAAGATTTGTTTATTTTGTTTATATGATATGTTCAAATAAATAATGACACAAAATTAAAATTAAAAACCATATAACACTGGGTTGTCATTCTAGACTAAAGAAAGCCACTATGTAATCATGGCAACTGATAACGCAATAAGCAAGGTAAACACTTTAATATGTTTAGTTATTTAATAGTTCAACAAACGAACAACGTTTCTAAATAATCCCTTATAATTTATATTGTCGATTATATAATCTAAATCTAATGAAATGAAAATGTCTCTAATTAGCATGTCGCCGTGATGGTAAATCATTAATTGAACTTTAATCTCCTCTGATCGATAAAATCTATGATTTATATACATATAATAATCAAGTTAAATTTAAGAAAGCTTTTGTACTTTTTTTTTCACCGAGTGTATAACTAAGTTGTAAACATTTTTTTCTAAACCTTTCACATAGCCAGTCATCAGTTTTTGTAATGTAACACAAACAAGTCCTCAACAAGTTTTTTGATATTAAGGAATTTAACGATTATCATGATGCTTATCTGCCTTATTAATACGTTGTGTGAAACTGAAATTCTTTAAATAAGCAAGCACTTTGAACATATGGGTGGTGTACAGTTGAAATTGTGCAACTTTTGGAGTGAAAGTTAACATTAAGACGTTTTTAAATGAGCGCATTGCCGAAGCCTATGACATATGCACAACCGGAAGGAAGTGGGTATGGACTACTCAATTAATAGTCAGGTAACTAACGGTAAAATTTGGTATCCAATAAATTACTACCTCATAAAACACAAAATATGGAATTTTGCCAGATTTCTGTGACCTCTGATTTCCGGGCAAAGAATGAGCTGTATGTTAGGTTACTTTCAAATCTTCTCATTGCACATTTTGTTACCGGTACACCACCGAAAACGAACACTGTTTAAAAGAAACGATTTGAGGTTCAGCATTATAATACACACAAAGCCTACCAAATTTTTATGAAATCATCATAACATTACAATTACTAATATTTAAGTATCAAGTTATAGAAACCCCTGTTAAAATAGCAATTGTAACATTACAGACAATTCATTATATAATTTATAATTATTATAGTCGTATTATATATTATTATAGGTACACATCACAAATAATAAACAAGAAATGTTCTAAAGGCCCCCATTATACACAAACCGATATGATTATTATTTCTGAAACAAATGTGGTAGGATTGGAATTTAGCGAGATCGAACGAAGGAAGGGACAAACTCTGCTGCGTTAGGGTTCAGGTTGCTGGAGTTCTGAAAGTAACAATATTAGCTAAAGTAATGTTAGCTAAAGTAATATTAGCTACAGTAAGGTTAAAGTCATTTTATTATTTTTATTAACAATGAAATCATGAGTAAGGAAACTTCCAAACACCTCGTTTCAAAGGACCTTGAAAACTAATAACTCTTAGTTACATCTATTATAGCAACTAAATGATAATAAATCTAACTACACGCAGCTTCATACTCACGAGGATATCTCCGTTCTGATGAACAGGCTCGTTGTCGTTAGACTGATTGTTAGCATTGTGCTCACTTTCAGAACTGGACAACCTCACATTGTTCATGTTATCAGTCACTTCCGTGTCAACCAGCTCCTCTTCTATCGCTTGAGCTACCTTGTTCAACTGAGTGTTGGGCGAGATGGTAAGAAGTAGCATAAATTAGACTAAAAGTTTTAAACATTCGACAATCATGCAATTAAATATTTTATATAAAAGGTACAAGATTCTAAATCTAAAAACCTCTTCAAGATGAAGGGAATCCAAGAACTCCTCTTCAAAGTTTTCCTGTTCATTCATCCACTCGTAATCTTTGAACCAGTCATCATCACAGTTATTGATTGGGGACTCGGGACGGACAACCATTTTTCACTAGACTTAGCTGTTTAGCTAAAGGACAGAATAAAATTAGATACCTGCTAGCTTAACATAACAGTTATCATATGTTGAAATGAGTGATTATGATTCTGGCGACTGCTTAATCGATGGGCAAGTAGGTATTTGTTTTTTAGCAGTGTTGAACATTGAAACAATTATAAAATGTTTATTTTTATCTTATATAACGTACAATATGACATATGCTATAGTGACGTAACATATATAATGCAAAGAAATAGTAACTTGCTAGATGTGATTTAAGTGCAATTGTAAATTGCAAAATGTTAACGTCGATTATTACTAACATTTATCTGAATTTAATACAATTACATTGTACATGTCACATATAAATTGGGTAGCTGAACGAAACTTGTGCCACAGAATTTTCCGTTATTAGCATTGCAGTGTCCACGCCCTGCACTGCGTTAACGACCGAAATTTTGCCAATGTGCAATAATTATTTTGCTTCTAAAATTCTCTGATAATTAATAATATATCGTGACATGTAATTGTAAGATAACAAACCTCAAACAAATTGCAAAATGTTAACGTCGATTATTACTAACATTTATCTGAATTTAATACAATTACATTGTACATGTCACATATAAATTGGGTAGCTGAACGAAACTTGTGCCACAGAATTTTCCGTTATTAGCATTGCAGTGTCCACGCCCTGCACTGCGTTAACGACCGAAATTTTGCCAATGTGCAATAATTATTTTGCTTCTAAAATTCTCTGATAATTAATAATATATCGTGACATGTAATTGTAAGATAACAAACCTCACGCGCGCGGCGCTTACATCTGCACCTGAGAATCTCTCAGCAATGTGTGGCTGTCTGCGCGGCGGGCTGTGTATTGTGTATATAGCTGAATTTAAATTTAAATTTATTTATAAATGTATAATAATATTAAATATGTATTGATTGTTTTGTGGTAAATAAAAATGTTGTTTTAGTAAAAATTTTAATTTTGTTTTACTGAGTTTTGGTTAAAACAATTATAAGCAGAGATAAGTTATACTTTTTGAAGCATTATTGGAAACGCTTCTAAAATAACAGGAACCATGTTACTTACAAAACATCATATCAATAATGTAGGAAAAATAATACAAGATGTTAAAAGATACCACACAACAATCAAATAGTTTCAATAGGATTACAATCTGCCTCAGAAACTATAAACTCCACCCCACCCTCGACTTCAGTATGAAGCATCTTCACTACCGACACTAAAAACCCTCTCTCAGTGTGAGTGTGTTCGCTCAGCAGCACACTTCGCCCCTCTGCAATCACTGCTAACACCTCATGATGTGACATCTCACCAGTGATGTAGAGGTCAGTGTCAACACCCTTCAGGAGAGACCCTCCTGATCCAGCACATATTCCAATAGTTTTGATAATGTCATATTGTTGGTTTGTAGACTTGAGTCTTCTAGCCCAACATTCCTGGTCTGCATGTCCTAGACGCAGGTATTTTATACCTAAGTGGCCTCGGAGAATATCACATATTTTAGTAAGAGGTAAGGGAGTTGATAGTGTGATAATTCGACCCATACCAGCATTTAACACAGATGGAGTAGGTGTTATAGGTACTTTTAATGAACAATCAAAACAAGATCCGATCCAATCGTTTACCCCGTTATCAATACTATCCCAAGATGTGTGCGGAGAATAAATGCTGATATTGTTAGCTATACACTTCATCACTATCCTATCTTTTGCATTGCTTTGCAGTAGCCGCTTGAAACTGCTGAAGATTGGTGGATGATAGCTGAGGATAAACTCACATTGCTTTGTAATTGCCTCTTCAAGAACAGGTTCAGTTAAATCAATCGTTGTTAAGACCCTCTTAACTGTTGAGTCAGTAGAAGGCTCAATCAGAAGGCCAACATTGTCCCAACTTTCGGCCAAATTCAGAGGAGCTAACAATTCCAACTGTCGAACAAGTTCTTTTACTTTCATTATACTTGACAGTCGATATCTGTGTAATTATTTAAATCAATCAATTAAAAGCAAACTTAAAAGTTAATTGAAGGGAGGATTTTGCAAAAGGCCTAGCTGAGCAATTTGGCAATAGAGATCATTTTCAAACACAGTTTCAAGATGAAAAAAGAATTCTAGCAATGAGTAATGTAATTTTGGACTATAAGGGGCAACTATCGTGCTGTTAGACTACAGTTAGACAGGATGTGATTGGCCAAATGAGGCCAAAAAAGTTGGCACCTTTCCACCCCTTGTCCAGATTTTATGGGGGGGGGGGGGCAGTCCCTCATTCCTACCACCCAGTGCATTGCTACAGCGAAAGAATTAGGGTTTTATTTCGACCATGTCCCCCTCTTCTCACCAAATTGTGAAAATAAATAAATGTAAGAGGAAACATATATTATACGAGTATTGTAAGCCTGTAGTCCGGGCCAGGGCAATGATACACAATTGAGTAGATTGAAAGTGTGTTCGAAGTATTATCACAGGAACATGTAGATAACTATATATACTGAGAGGTACCAATGTTAAGGTACAAGTATATAAGCCAAATGCGAATGTCCTATAATATAAACTAAAGGCGTCATATATAGAACTAGAAATAAATAGCTTGACAAGTATGACATGTTAAACTGCGTAACGCAATTGTTGTTTTTTCCATTGTATGGCCGTCACATGCTACTGCATACTGCTAATATGATCACGAGATCAGGTTTATAGAGTTAAAGCAATTAAAACAACATCACCGATTTGCGCAAGTCGTGAAATAATGCTGATCTTACAAAGTTTGTTGATATAACCAGTCTAGATCTTAACTTGGAGCCACAAGGCCAAGGGTCATTTTTGATTGTTAAGGGACATTTTTGAATTCTTAAAGGGTTGATTTTATATAGGGTCATTGCTATATTATGTGTATATTGTTTGAATAATTTTAATAATATCTTACAAAGTTTTAAAATAAATTGCTTAGCTTGCTACTACTTTGTATTTGCTAGCTTCTTTTACAAATATGCGAGGAGTGCAATTAGCTCGCAAAAAGAGCGCCGCGCCTAGGGATTGACGGCGCGCGCGCCAAGTATACAGTATAAGGATCATGTTAAATGTTGACACACGTCGCAACGGTTTTTTTTTCGCGCGCAAAATTTTAATGATCAAGCATTCACCTAACCATGTGCACAGGGGGAGCTGAAACCAGGTTTTCGATCAAACGCTGCCATGTGTAGTCAAACGTCGCCAAAAGTTGCTCTCGTCCAATAAAATCGCTGCATTATGTAAGCCAAGCTCCGCAAATGAATATATGTAATTCAATTATGCATACTAACTTGCAAAATGCAGCGATTTCATTGGACGAGAGCAACTGTTGGCGACGTTTGACTACAAATGGCAGCATTTGATCGAAAACCTGGTTTCAGACCCCCCTGTGTGTGCTTTCGCGCCACTTCGGGCGCGCTTGTTTCACAAGTCAGGAAAAGGTTCGGGCATGGTCAGCCCCCTGTCACCCGATCTTGAGGTGACGTACGACACCTCGTTTACGCAATCAATGTCTGAAAGGCTCCACACGTTGCATATGAGGACAAAAGCGCGGGAAATTTTGGCACCACTGTACAGTGGTGCCAAAATCGTTGGGTGGGTTAATGGCTAGAGCCCTTTTTACCGCCGTGAGGCGGGCGCGCGCTACTGCAAGCGCAAGGGCTCTGGATAGAGCAAGATCAAGCACATAACTTATCGCCCGCCAGGTTGCAATTTAAATAAAAAGCATTGTAAATTACTTTTCAATTCAGAAAATAAAATTTGTATCATGTATGGCATATGTGATATGGTGCTTTTACTAAATCGCTCGCCCAAATTTTAAGAAAATTCTTGTGAAAAGGCATGAAAGTGATCTAGATCGGTGTATTTTGGACGCTGATTCCGAATCACCCCCCCATGACGTAAGGTTAAAATGCTTCCCTGGAGAGTTATGGGCAAAAAACCGTTTTGGTCACGTGACAGGCTAGTAAAAAGTGAATTCGATTATTTATAGGGCTCGGGTTAGGGTTAGGGTTGTGGTTAAGATCATGGATAGCTTCAGGGTTATGATTAGGGTTAGGGTTGGGATTAGGGTTTATGTAAAACCGTTTTGTACGGCTGCAAAACCAGAAAAACCAAAGTCACGTGAAATTTTTGGGCGAGCGATTTAGTAAAAGCCAAAAAATTACTTTCGGACTAAATTCATATTGTTTATTCAAATCTAAAAGAAACAACATTTATTTGACTAATTTAAAATTGTTCAATCTGAATACGAGCTTATTACGACGAAGGGAGGTCACAACACTGCGCGCAGGAGTGCGACTGTAGGATGGTTTTTTAGCGCTAATTTCGGCCAGCACAATTTTCTTCAAACAAATAAATATTAAGTATCCTTCCCGACCTCCGATTGCAACAAAAATTATATTGGTAAGCTTACTCATAGACTTAAAAGGAAAGTGTCCGAAATATTTAAAGCATATCCAACCATCAAACATTATTAATTATGTTACAGCTAAAAGCAGCGCATTTTCCCCATTTTGATCATTATATCAACTCCGATATCCACCAAATTTTTCGGACAGTTCTGTAAGCCCTATTGGAAGGTCGTCGCCAATTTTCAGAATGATCTCATTCAAGGAACCGAAGATTGAAGATATATCCGAAAAATATTTATATGAGTATTGCTGAAAGCACAGTGTAAGGCCTACACGGACCGCCTCTAACTAGCCAATCCCTGTTTACATGCCGTGTAGCAGGGGACTAGAAAGAGCTAAACTAGTAAGCGGGGCATAGCCAATACACTATACTTCCATCATTGAGTATATTACCAACCAAAAGGAAAATTTCCTTGTGTTTGGAATCTACCAAGACGAAAGTTGTACAATCCAGCGAAATTCCGAAGAATCATTCCAGTAGACTAGGCGCATTGCAACCACAGCCACGGAAATACTTATGAGTATTGCTGAAAGCACAGTGTAAGGCCTACACGGACCGCCTCTAACTAGCCAATCCCTGTTTACATGCCGTGTAGCAGGGGACTAGAAAGAGCTAAACTAGTAAGCGGGGCATATATATTTATATATATATAAATATTATATAAATATTTTTCGGATATATCTTCTATATATAGATTTAATTGACGATGTCAATTCATCTCAGCTCGGCGCGGCACAGTAGCGCATCTCGCCGATCTGTCGCTGTGAGAAGCCTCATTGAGTGCGCGGCGCGGCACAGTAACGCATCGCGCTAAAATATATAAATATAATCACCGCGCCAGAAGGAGTAGGGACCTTTTCACTCGCAAATAGGGAAATACGGCCATCTCGCTCCTAAACAGCTTTATTGGTGTATTTATTTGTTTTTATTTGACAAATGAAGTACACCAATGTATTCATACAGGTTTATGCATGATCACACAGAAATAGGTAGTGCGCCATCGACAGTGAGCCGCGCGTGCCGACTGTAAATGGTTTTTTAGCGCTAATTTCGGCCAGCACAATTTTCTTCAAACAAATAAATATTAAGTATCCTTCCCGACCTCTGATTGCAATAAAAATTGGTAAGCTCACTCATAGACTTACAAGGAAAGTGTCCGAAAAGTTTAAAGCATATCCAACCATCAGACATTATGTTACAGCTAAAAGCAGCGTATTTTGCTCCATTTTGATCACTATATCAACTCCGATATCCACCAAATTTTTCGGACAGTTGTGAAAGCCCTATTGGAAGGTCGACGCCAATTTTCACAATGATCTCATTCAAGGAACTGAAGATAAATCCAAATAATACGACACAAATCAACGAATTTGGTCAAATTTGGTCAAATTACGCGACTTTTACAGCTAATTTTGCTCCAAAAGCCGCGCACCATCAAATATGGCACCTAGGCGAAACTTACTGATGTTTCCAAAAAGGTATGACAAATTTGGTATTGTGAAAATTCTCGCAGTCTCTAGAAAACAATCAACAATGGTACAAAAATTTTAAAAAACCGAGAAAGTTTATTTTTATGGTGCACCCCCTAACAGAAAGAATTTTTTAAATCGGATAAATTCTGTTAAAATGGTAAACAGAAACCTCCGCGCATTTGGAAATATTGAACGAATTTGCGCCCATAATTTTTGTCTTTACTAAACAATATTTTGGCTGATAGACACAATACAAAAATTGTGCAATTAAGTATAAATAGCTAAAATGATTTCCTAACCGTACATATTAAAATGATTCTAGGTAGTGCGCCATCAACAGTGAGCCGCGCGTGCCGACTGTAGGATGGTTTTTTAGCGCTAATTTCGGCCAGCACAATTTTCTTCAAACAAATAGATATTAAGTATCCTTCCCGACCTCCGATTGCAACAAAAATTGGTAAGCTTACTCATAGACTTACAAGGAAAGTGTCCGAAAAGTTTAAAGCATATCCAACCATCAGACATTATGTTACAGCTAAAAGCAGCGTATTTTGCCCCATTTTGATCACTATATCAACTCCGATATCCACCAAATTTTTCGGACAGTTGTGAAAGCCCTATTGGAAGGTCGACGCCAATTTTCACAATGATCTCATTCAAGGAACTGAAGATAAATCCAAATAATACGACACAAATCAACGAATTTGGTCAAATTTGGTCAAATTACGCGACTTTTACAGCTAATTTTGCTCCAAAAGCCGAGCACCATCAAATATGGCACCTAGGCGAAACTCACTGATCTTTCCAAAAAGGTATGACAAATTTGGTATTGTGAAAATTCTCACAGTCTCTAGAAAACAATGGTACAAAAATTTTTAAAATCCGAGCAAGTTTATTTTTAAGGTGCACCCCCTAATGATTCCCCAAAACTGATATCCTAAATCACAATAGATGCCATAGTAAAATCAGTCCGCCGATAAAAATATGACGTATTTGGCGCAAATATATCTCACTTAATCGTTGTTGGATTTTAACATCAATTTCTACAAATTATAAGGTCTTTATTTTTCCAAATGAGC